TCGGCTCAGCTTTCGGAGGAAACGGACAATCGAGTAAGCGGACTGAGAGTCAAGACCAGAGGTGGGCTCGTCGAGGAAGAGAAGCAGCGATGGCTTGGCTGCCAGTTCAACGCCAATTGTCAATCTCTTACGCTGTTCCACTCCAAGACACATGATGACGGCGTCCTGTAGGTCATTGAGTTCAAGGAGATCAATAATCTTGTCGACATATGCGAGCTTTTCAGCGCGGGGGACGGATGCATCCTGTCGCAGAATAGCAGAGAACTCAATAGCTTCTCGTACAGTCTGGGTTGTATCGTGGAGATCACCCTGAAGACAGAATCCGGTGTTTCTCTGAAAGTCTGTGCTAAGAGATCGTCCATCCACAAGCATCTCGCCTGTAACGACACCGACGCTCGTGCGTTGCGAAAGGATGTTAAGAAGGGTCGTCTTTCCAGCACCTGATGCTCCCATGAGTGCCACCATGATACCAGGCTTAGCGTATCCGCTGACCTTGTTTAGAAGCTTCTTCTCTCCACCAAGATACGGAACCGTGTATTCAATATCTTTCCATGTGAAGATGGACTCGCTGTCAGTGATTTGCTCCAGTGCCTCGTCCTCGCTGCCTGCATTGGGATCGGCTACAACACCGGACGAGCTGCTAGCACCATTCCCAACGGCCTTCTCGTCGTCGGTAGGAGATTCGGCCTGGCGTGCTTGCTCCCTAGCCTTGCGGCTCTTCTTGAAGATCAAAGCACCGCCACCACCTTCTGCAAAGCTGACCAATTCCGTGGCCAATACTGTAATGATGATGTAGAGAACAGCAAAGGCAATGACAACACCAAAGTTTCGCCACAGGTGCGACCGGCTGTAGTTGTAGGTTGTTTGCAGATAATCGCTTCCAGAGACCGACTGCGCATTAACCGAAGCTCCGCTAATGGCGCATCCTTGGTAGCCTGACTGAACACCTGGTCCTTGAGGAACAAGCTGTGAAGGGGCGCATTCCAAGGTTCGATCGGACAGTTCATTGGTCAATACAGCCTCAAAACTATAGCTGAGAGGATTGACCCAGTACAACCAACCGAACCAGATGTAATCCTTCAGTAGCTGCGTCTTAGGAAGTACGTATCCAGTATAGATGACGAGCAAGTTCAGCGAAATTCCAGAAAACCGCACAGCAGTGTCAATCTCAGGGGACAAGCTGGCAAACATGCGGTACATGGCCGTGACCATTATAGTGGTGGTATACACAAATAGCAGGTAGATCCAGAACTTAGACGCGTCCACGTCAAGTCCTGTCATGAAGTACATGAGAATACCAAAGATGCAGACTTGGACGGCGATAACGGGGAAGTCGAGCAAAACTCGGGCAAGAGAGACAGCTGACGGACGATAGAAGGCATAATCATGGTGGCGAGCAACGACAGCACGACCAGAGACAGCCTTCATGAGCTCAGAAAGCTGGAGCCAACCCAGGAAGAGAATTGAAAAGAAGATGGTACCACCACGGCTGAAAGCACTATCAGTTTCTTCTGATTGTCCGTAAAAGAGAGATCCCACGATGAGGCCGTTTGAGACGATGATAAAGAGCTTGGTCCAGAGCGTTGTTGTATCGCCGAACAGGAGCCAAGCTTCTCGCTGAGTGCAAGCAAGAACTTGTCGAGGGAATGAAATGGTGTAAGACGACTTGTCAGAGACATGCTTGGACTTGGAATCCTGAACGGCACCCTGGAACCTCTTTGCATCTTGGTAATCAGACTGATGAAGAGATTCTTTGTAGGCGGCAACATCAGCCAGGAGCTCTTGGTAGTTTGGTGAGTTTCGGAAAGCTGACTCGAGCTCCTCCGGGGTTCGGGGAGCGCGGTGCTCGAAACCAGGTCTGTATCGTCGCTCGGTCGGATCGGTGATGGCAGTCAGGAAGTCGGCGGTCGTCTGTCGTTCAGGACATTCGAATCCAAGGTCGATAAAGTATTGCTTCGCCTTGTTGGCGGGCCCAGAGAAGATTTGACGACCTTGATCAATGACCAACACCTTGTCCATCAGCTCATAAATGCCTTCACCGGCCTGATACAATGTGACGAGGGTAGTTCGGTTGCTGATATCTGTCATGATACGGAGGGATCGTGCGTAGTCGAGGGCGGTCGATGCGTCCAATCCTCGAGTGGAGTTGTCCCAGGCCATCACTGTCGACTTAGAGGCCAAGGTCTCAGCAATCGAGACTCGCTTTCGCTCACCACCAGAGACGCCTCGGGTGAAATCATCACCAACAACAGTATGCTTTGTATGACTGATTCCAAACATCTTCATGAGAGCATCCACAACTACAGGGATATCGGCCTTCTCACTGATCTTTGTCTTGTTTGTCAGCGCAAAAGCCAAGGTCTTCCACACACTCAGAGTAGCAAAGTGAATATCGTCTTCGCCATTGTAGTTGACCTCGCCTCGGTAGTGCTTCTTTTGCTCGGTAGCGGGAATACCACTGTAGGAAACATCTCCCTCGACAGCAGCGTATGACTCGCGATTGTTGCTGATAGCCTTGAGAAATGTACTGCAGCCGGCACCGGGTCGGCCTAGGACGAGCATCATCTCACCATCACGAACGCAGCCGGTAAAGTCGTTGATGAGTGTACGTGTCGGGGGCTTTCCGAAACGGAGAGATGGTATATATCGTGTAATGACATGGTAGAGATCGGGGCCAAAGGTACCAAGGATAGCATCAGGAACAGTCCGAACGAAGGATGTGGTGCTTCCAGCGCCTTTAACGGTCAAGTTCTCGTACACAACTCCAACTCGCTTCAGGGCACCCTCCTCTTCGGAACGCTTCTCGAAATGGCCTTCTCGCATAAATCGGCCGAGCTCGAAACCTTCGCTTTCCTCAGGACCAGCCTCAACGTCGGTTTTTGAGTCGTCTGTAGGCACTCGAGCAGCAGCATGGCTTGTTCGTCTACTTGTGTGGGCTCTGCTGGCTTGTGTTTCTTGAGTTCTTGTCTTGTGCAGGCTCATCAAGTTATGCCTTAGAGACTCGAACTCTTGCATAGCTTCTTGAGCGGTAACATCTTCTTGTCCACGCTCACCCCATTTTCCTTCCTGGATGACATCTGTTTCGGAGGAATTGCTGCTTTGTCCGCCCTCGAGGGTTTGCTGGGATAGTGGAACTTGCTGCTGCGGCGGCGGCTGCTGTCCCATTGACGATTGCGTGCGGCGCAGAGCATCGCCGTCCACGGTATTGGCCCACATGTTGACGGCGATGATATGAGCTCAACAGTGGATGTTTGTTTGTTGTATCAAGGAGAGGATGAGAAATGATGACGTGCAGTTTGTGAAAGGGCTGCGCCTTGGTATTTGTAGTTATCGCTAAGTTGCCTATCAAGAGTCCGTGGTTTGAAGAGGAAGGACCGGTGAAGATAAGCCTCACGAAGGTCGCAGGAGCTTAGCACAATGTTTGTCCCCAATAGTCCCTGAGGATGGTGCATTATATAATGGCCCTGAGCAGACATGCACATTTTTTCATCCATAGTGACGTAAAGGTGCCTAGCAAAAGAAGGGGGTACGCTAGGAAGGGATTTAGACGAGCATAGTTCAAAATAACGGATACACATCTTGCCCAGATTTGGCAGAAATGTCAATCGTTTTTTTTTGTCAGTCCTCCAGAGCCTACTTGGCGAGTGGGTGCTATGCAATTCCCCATGGACCCTCGCCGCGTTCTCACTGTTGATCTGTCAAGGAGTTTAGCTCTTGTTTCCGAATCTTTGCTGCTCAACGTTAATTGCTGCGGTAGAGTGGAGTTGTTGACTCGGGATCTGAGATAAAGCCCCATAATTTTCACTTTGCCGGAATCAGGCCCAAGATGCAGATCCCTTCTGCCGTTCGGACGGACATACAGCGTAATCTGTCGGACTTTAGTGTGGGAGACTCTAGAAAAGTTTGGGTTTAGGTCTCACCTCAACGGCGATAACCGCCAGGGTGCCTGGGCCGCATAACTTCGCTTGTGGTTGCATTAATCACTTAAACAATACGCTCATCCAGTCGGAATAGCTGCAGTTATACAAAAGCGGAACTGGATACGGCGTGGGAGTCGTTGTAATTTGCTCTATTGCTTTGGTTGTTGTTGAGAAGTTGTGTCGTATTGGTAAGCACAACCAGACAACTGTTTCTGCCAAGCATGCTGTGGAACTATGATCTACGCTACTGATGCATAAGTATAAGCAGAGAGCCGCCTCCAACGTTATCGGTTTAATAATGAGGGTGGTTATTAATTGAGGCCGCCCTTCGTGCGCTCCGTCCATGCTCGGGTCTTATCTTGTCTGACGTCCCTTATGATTACAAACCCTGTTAATCATACATGACTCATGCTCACCTTCAGCAGTTCAGCTGTCTGTCTGACAAGCGTTGGGTCTAGAAAGCCGCTAGATATACGTTGTTGTTGTTGTTCGGCCGAGAGATTATTCAAACGACGAGACAACGAAAACGGCAAATGTCGCGAGCACGCAATCTCCTCACATTGTATTTGTTAGCGAATTATTTTCTCGAGTTCGGATTTCAACCAAAAGCTTATTATGCAGTGATACATGTTCTTAAGAACCAGATACTGCAGTACTGTCACAATAGAAGCACTCAGATCTTCATCCCCAGCATGTGAATGTGACATACCCTACACACCTACATCAAAGTGAAGCATTGAGCACTACGCTCCCAATAACTTATCTCCAGCGAATCTCAAATAACCGATTGCTTATTACGTGTCGTAAAAGAATCCCCAGAAACCTATCCACAGTAAAATCCGATGCACTGGTGTGTATTGCTTTTTAATCCAACCGAAATGCGGGTGGTGACGGTGTATCCGAACAAGGAATTTCCCTCCGCCATCAAGGTACTACTGTATCGCAAGCAGGTATCCGCTGCGGCGTTGACAAGCGATGGATTTCTCCATACCGAGTGGAGCGGCGACGATGCAGGATTGAAGCCCTAGGGCTGGGTGCCGGACATATACAAATCTTGTCAGCAGATTCGCCACCCAAGAAAGCAATTTGGCGCAGTGGAAGCGCGGTATGTTCACTCATCTCTACTACCACAAAACATAGATACTAACAGACCCAGCCGGGCTCATAACCCGGAGGTCGCACGATCGAAACGTGCAATTGCTAGGTTCTCTTTTTGCATTTTTATGGAATATTTCTTTTCTTTTTGAAACTGCCTTTATATTGCCATACTACGGCAAAGCGTCCTTGTGCTAGCTCAGCATTTTGGTGATGAAGTAACTTGCTTGGATGTGATGGCACTCCCTTATAGCACAGTAGCACAGTCAGTCGCAAGAACTCCAAACTAAATGGACGAGCGATTCAAGGTATTACAGATCCAAACACTTAAAGGTTGGAATATATGTTGTTATATCGATTCCATCGGTTCCAATGCCTGATTCCTATGCTTCAAAACGCTCACCCTGTTGTGCTCATCTGGCACCTGCCCCTTCCTTGCACACAGATGCGGATGTGTGAAGCTTCAAGTCTGCACGGTCACGTGTTGGCTACTCTGTCTACCTAATGCTGGTTGCTTCCTTTGAGCCTCCTCGGTGAATCATCTTTCTCATTGCCTCCGTTTTTCTTGCATCACCAACAACGGCAAGCACCACTGGCAAAAGAACTGGCATGGCAGGGACGCTATCAAAGCCACCAGATCACTTGTAAATGATGAGTTAACTCTTGTCATTAACAAAGAAGCCTGCTATATACAGGGCAAATTATGTCGTCTCGCCATGTCTTTCAAGCTTATTTTGGATGCGAACATCTCAGGTACGTACATCAAAGCGAAACTACCATAATAGAATCGCTACATAATCCGGTATCGTCCTTATCTTCGGCATCGTTCGGGCTCCCATCCTCAGTATCGTGTTGGTATTCTTCGTCGTTCTGGTCCTTTTCACCGTCAAACATACTCCATGATCGTTTTGGTTCCTCTCGACCATGCGAGCCCGAGCCCAAGGAGATGGGACTGCAATTCTGAGTCGGGAAGGACGATATTTGAAAACTCATCCTAAACTTATGGCCGACTATCTATAAAATCTTCATAACATAGGTAAGCCATTTGAAACTGAGCCTTGACCAACGATGACTTTGATGCTTTGACCTTGGAGATTGACTCTCGTGCGCTAGACCATTATGGATGGCGATACCGACGATACTGGCGGTGAAGGATTCTTCGTCTTGACAGGACTTACTGCAACGTTGATCAGAGTTCTTCTACAAGAAGCAATCGACAACGACAGCTTAAATTGGGACTCGGCACTGCATGTGACGCTGGCAGTAAGCCTAATTGCAACAACTGGTGCCAAGCCAGGCGATATATCCCAACAAAACGGCATCTACCGAGCGAACAACACATGTCTTTGCTGGGAACACATTTCCATATTAGAGGGCCTAGCACCGGAATATCAGTTGGAAGCGACAATGTCGTTCAAATTCTGCCACGGTTTCAAGTAAGTCAACCCCCTGAAGCTGCCACCTAAACATATCCTAATATTGCTCAAACAAAAGCCAGATATCAACTATTCCGTCAAACTTGAAGAGCTGAGGGATCCATCGACAGGCTACGCTTGTCCAACCAACCTCCTCCTTGTATTCGCACTCCGTACCGAAGCAGCCCGCCAAACCTCGTTTGATGAATTGAGACAGTACATCCGCGACAATCCAAACACTGCAATGATTTGGTCGCGCCCTAATGATCAGGTACTCTGTGCTTCCGCCGTTGGGGCTATTGGTCACCTTGACTTTGACACGCCTATCAAACTCTGTTCATTGCAAAACTTGTTCATGACGGTATCGAAAGCCGCCGGAAACTGACTGAGCGTCTTATTGCCCCATCCCACACGAATATTTCTCCCGAGCGCAACAGTCGACCTACTCGTCGTCAAACTCAGAGAGTCGGGAATTCCCGCAAGGATGTCATCGAGATTTGCCGAGAAATGAACCTCAATCCTAATAACCGCAAGGAACGAGACAAGGCATCTAAAGAACTACGGAGGCGCAAACAAGCCGAGAGTCAATCACCACAGAGACCTAACGATTCTACATGCTCGCCAATATCAAACCAATCCAATTCTCACTATCAAACCCTTCCCAAAGAGTGGCTTCTACAGCAAATCGAATCTGGCTCTGTATCTGGAATGGCTCGTGCCATGCAGCAGGTAACGGACAACTCTGATTTATAAGGCAAGCGTAGCGACGTCTTCTTCTGAAAGGGAACAGAGACCGTTTTTTTCCCGTCTATCGCAGATCAACGAGTTCAGATATGAACACTTCAATCCATACGCGCTTCCGATGATGGCTCGAGATGGAGGGAGTAAAAATGAACCCCTTTCACCAAGTTCGACTACGAAGCCAACTCTCGATTGATATCAGGACTCAACCGGTGACACAAGGCCAGGAGCGTGGCATATATGACCCTTGTGAGCCGAATTGAGAGGAGTTTAGGCTGAGTTATGACGAGCTTGTAACATAATTTAGGATAGAATATTGATATCTTTTGATAAAGTTTGACATATATTAGGATAGGTGGTCAATAATTTACATACTTTGGGATAGTAACAGCGCCTCCCTCTCTCATCCACTCGGCTTTCTTCTCTCCATTCCATTCACTAATCACTGTAAATCGTCCCGTTAGACTTGTCCATGAAATCGGGTATTTACAGGAGCTTCTTGAACATTCTACTTATGGTGCGCTCCACCGTGCTGACTACTTTAAGGCGAACAGTGGCAGGAAAAGCACCAGGAGTATCAGTAGAAAAATTGGCATTTCCAGTACTGGTGTTGGGTTCGGACGCTCGGTATCGATTAGGCGGATGCTCGAAGACTCGCCCGTAGGCTTGTCAGCTGGCTCGGCTTGTCTGACGCTTCCGTACTGTTCAATAGTGACAGCGATGGTAGAGCATGTAAACCTGCGCAAAGTCAATGTCATCTCGAATAGGTTATCCATCACATTACCCCACTGTGGTTACAATTGGGCTGACGATCATCTTGCACATTTTCAGCCTCTCAAATCCAGAGAGAACTTCAATATAGAAGGCATAATGAGATCCCCGAGGGCCATGAACAGTGCCAGTGCAGGCCGCTCTATTATCGTTCGTCAGCCACGTAAAACTACCGAATCGTGTTTTGTTTCTTGAAGGTGAGACCCTTGTTCTTATTCCGGTTCGATAAGGGTATACACTGTGGCTTGGTAATGTAAGAGAGATCAGCAAGACGACAAAACAAAACCTCTTCTAACAGCTGTTGGGGATAGATGTTGAGTATGGGCACTGGAACCTGGCCATTGCTCTCATCGCAAGTGGTCTTAATGTCGATACTAAGTGACACTATCACCGTTGTAGGTAGACTTGCCTTTATCGTCGGCAAGGTATGGTTTCAATGGGCAGGGGTTTTTCTTATATTTCGCCAGCCGAACCTACCCTAAGAGGACAACCGGAACCGTTTCCTGCTGCATATTGGGGCGGGCTGTGACAGCTCTTATATACCTAAGCTAATACATCTATAGGGATAGGATCTTTCTTTGCCTCTCTTATGGCGACAGTAGAATAGTAATTGCGGACTTCGTTGCCGTATGAACATATTACTCAGGTCATCATAAGCATTTGACACGCGTCTCGGGCCTTGCCGCAAAGACGCATCTAGGGCTGTAGATTGTTATTGGCTCTGTGATTTGCCGTCAGAAGTGGCAATGCTTTTTTTAGCCGTAAGGCCGTGCAATCCCGTAGATACTCTAATAATAAGGTAATTGAGTTTACAAGCTAGTTGTATATCCCGCAAAACTATCTTTTAGAGATGCCGGCTGTTAGCGGGTCCTGTCTTTCTAATAAGTGATAGACCAATTGGGTGTAAGTGACTTGGCGTTTTTAATAGTTAAGAAGTTGGATGAACGGGACCTACTAACCACCGGGGCCTCTAGGAGATGGATTCGCTAGGCATGTATCTATATTAGTACTGCAGGGCTATTATAGGCCTCAGTCAGTGCAAGCGTCTGTCAGAACAAGCAAGGGGTATGACCTCCGTCGATGAGACATCGGTGATCTTGTGCATTAGGTAGGTCACATTGAGGGAAATTATTTCCGTAGGAAGGTCGTAAATCAGCCCCCTCTTTTCAGCCGCGCCTTCTCAGAGCCTCATTTTTCTCAGAGCTTTGCTTAGCAGAGCCTGATTCTGCAGAACTATTTCAACACATTAATGCCACGTATTAGGATATTGAGCATTCTTTGAGAACGATTAAGCATATCTTAGCATCAAATACTCCTTCCATCTCTACCTTGAGCTTGTTCCTGCATGGATATCTTGAGGCATATACCAACTGGTCACAGCATAGGTAGTTCCATACAATGGATAAGTTGAGAAGGGCACCGCCCTCCCATGAGTACCAGGGCGTCAGCCCAACTCCGAATGAATTCAAAATGCATCGCAGCATCCGCTCATCGCCCGCCAGCACTATCGTCGACAGAGAGATATACATGTCGCCTCCATCGCTAGTCCGAGGTGAATCTAGCTCTAGTCGAGCTGGCTCGAAGTTCAATTATTACCCGCTCGATCCGTTGAGCCCGAACCTGCATGACAGTTTAGGCTCACATGGCAGACCACTCAGCCAGGTGGAATTGCTAGGCTCTGACCGAGACCGAGCATATGATTCGGGCGCTGGACTAGGTATACATCAACCTACTATAGTTGTGCAACGCCAAAAAGGCCAAGGCCCATTGTCAAAGTTACTCAAAAACAAGTGGTGGATGGTCATCTGTCTCTTTATTGGCTTTGCTGGCGCACTCAGCCACCATCTCCTCTATGCTCATCTGCATAACCGCGAGGCTTCGAACCAGCAATGGTGGCTCCGACTAGGCCAATTCCTCTCTTTTATCTCAAAAGCCAGCTTTGTCGTTGCTGTCTTGCTAGCTCGTCAACAAGTGGCCTGGAGAGTCGTTAGCCAGAAGAGTTTCACAGTCCATGCTGTTGATTCTCTCTTCGGTGCCGCCCACGATGCGTTTGGGCTTTTTAATAAAGAAGCATGGAAGAACTCGACGTTTACTATGCTCCTTGCGATATATATATGGGCGAGTCCCCTGGTGGTGATATTCACATCGGCAACTCTTGATGTGGCACTCGAGACGAAACAG